ACCTCCCGCACGGCCTCGTGGAACACGTGCTGCACCCCCACGAAGTCCTGGCACGCCGACACCTCGTGGAAGAGGCACCCAAACCTACTGGCGAGGGACATCCCTTCAGCTGAGGGCACCTGCCTGGTGAGAGCGGAGGGGAAAGGTGCAGCATCCCTTGGGGCACTGCAGCCACACGAAAAGGGGAGCAGGGGGGTGCAGGCAACTGACCCTGCATCCCACACCTGCTTCCCGGTGAGCACCAGGGCAGCACTGGCTTGTCCTCCCTCCTGGGATAAGCAGGGTACATGAGTCCAAAAGAGTTCTGCCTTTCCCAAAATCCCAGAGTAACGGGCTTTGTGGTATCCCTGGGGAATCACATAGCTTCCCGTGCCGTGGTTGTGTGCCAGGGACACAGGAGTGGGTGGAATGGGAATGTGCTGAGAACTGGGGAGAGATGGGGTAGGTCCTTGTCATGGGGAGGGGGACACCTCTGTGCTGGGAGCACAGAGGGTTTAGCAACATACATTACTTGGGGACCCATGGGACAAGAACAGCACAAAAGGCCAGAAAAACAGACTGGGCACATCCAGTCCTGCCAGCGGAGCCAGGACCAGAGGGCTCCAGGGAAAGGAAGGGCAAGTCCAGAGTGGCTCCTTAACCTGTCAGGTATATGGTTGTTGCCTCACCATGCAACCAAAAACCATCCTGCGGAAAATACCAATGGGCTCAAAATAAGCACATCATCCCCCAGGCAGGAGAGTAGGAACCTTGGAGATGTAGGAGGATGTGCCAAATACTAATGGGGGTGGAAATACCCATGAAAAATCAGATTTGTGTTTTGCATCCCAGATGGAGGGATGTGGGGGGATCTGTGAGCTGTCTCCCACCAAGAACAACCAGCCCTACCCCACGCCCAGTACCTGTACTGCTCCATGTCCAGCTTGTTTCCCAGCAGGAGGACGGGGCAGCGGTGCTGGCAGCCCTGTGCGTGCAGGGCGAGGACCTCGAGGTAGCGCTGGCAGCCCTCAAAGCTCTTCCTGTCATCGATGCTGTATACGACGAGGAAGGCACTGGCCCAGCGCAGGTAGCGCTCACAGTTCTTCCCGGGGCCGTCCTGGGAGTCAGAGCAGTGGCTGAGCCATGGTCCAGCCGTGGTCCAGCCGTGGTTCAGCTGTGGTCCAGCTGGATCACACCTTGCATTGCATGCCAGTGGTGTCCCAGTGCCTCACCTGGTCGGCAGTGTCCATCACCTTCAGCAGCACAGGCTGCTGGTCCACCAGCTCCTCCGAGGTGTAGGTGTCCTCTGCAAGCAGAACGGTGGTTGTGAGGATGGGCTGAGGTGCTCTGTCTTCTGCAAAGCCAAGCAAAGCTCTCCATGCTTGGGACACTCGGATGCTTGGATGGAAAAATCTCAGCCCGGATGAGGAGCATCCTCCACTGATGCCTCCTACCTCAATACTTCCTGAGACAATGTTAATTCTGGGGACTAGTGTTGATACTGCTGGGCAAGCCTGGCTAGGAGCAGTTATTTCCCCATGTGTCACAAGTGTGGGCTCCCATGGGAGAAGGAGGGAGGGGAAGGAGCATGGCATGGCCATCGCTGCACCCAGGGCTCAGCCCTTACCTAAAGAGCCACGGGCTGGTGAGATAAAGTGAGCTGGGGGCTTGACTTGGGGCTGTTTCCTGATAAATCCGGCAAGAAGAGCAGCCCTTTCTTTCGGAAGGAGAGCAGGCAGGGAAAGCTGCTGAGCTGTTCCCTGGAGAGAAAGATGCCTTCTCCCTGCTGGGTCCTAACGGATGTGTTTCAGAAAGGTTTTGACATGGGAAGATGAAAACATATTCCCAAAAATATCCAAGTAGGAAAGGATTTTTCCTTCTTTCCTAAGGGTCGCTATGTTATTCGGAGCTGGAGTCAGTTCCTGGACAAGCTCCATATCTCCCTAATGTCTCCGATAAATCATTTACGGTTCTTCCCCGTGCCCTGGAGTCAGGCCTAGGAAAACAGTTATTAATTACTCAAACTAGTGGGAAAAAAAATGCCCAGAACCATTTGCTGCAAAGCTCACCCCCCAGGGATGCTGCTCTGCACCCCAGCCCTTCCCCTGGAGTGAGCAGGAGGCACAAGATGCTCCCCAAGGAACCCCAAGAATTCAGCTTTCAGTTTCTCTGAGGTGATGTGAAGAGCTGACATTCCCCTGTGGGATGTGCCCGCACGGAGAGCACTGCTTTCACCTCTGTTTTTCCAAGCGAGTTTGGGTCAAATCCAGCTCTTCTTGTTGTTTTTCATATTGTTCTGTGTGGGTTGGGTTTTTTTTTTCCCTTAAATGCCATATTGGTGGGAAAGGCAGTAAGGGAAGGATGCTCTGTGGGATGAGGAAGCCTCTTACCCAAGTTTGGATCATATTCGCTGATGAACCTCTTGGTTAGAAACTTCACGGTCAGAGCTGCAGGAGGTGGAAGAAGCAGGTGAGGCAGGTCTCTCCCCAGGGCATCAGCACCCCCTGATGCCCAGCCATCCCCGTGGCAGCAGGATGCCTGTCTCACCTGACTTCCCAGCCCCTCGGCACCCCAGGATGGCCACGTTGCACTCGGGCAGGGAGCTCTGGGGCGGCCGCTCGCTGCTCACTCGCGGTTTGCCGAACATCGATGACATCCTCGGTCCTGTGGGAGAGAGCGGGGGGATGTGGGGCACCTGCTGCCATGCCAGATGGGGATCTGCTCACTGCCTGGTTCACAGGGTGCTCCAGTGTGGGGGAAAGAGGGGCTCAGCAGCACCAGGGAGGGAGAACCCCTCTCCTCCATCCACATCCTGCAGCCAGGGTGGCTGGCATCCCCATCCCACACACGGCCAGCACCCACCCAAAGACTGGCACACCCCAGGCCT